GAAGGGAAGGGAAGGGAAGGGAAGGGAAGGGAAGGGAAGGGAAGGGAAGGGAAGGGAAGGGGAGATATACTTGAGCAGATCCCTTCTCTTCCGTCCATCATCTTTCAGTGCCTCCCTTTGGCCAAGCCTACCCAGAAGGCAGAGGGCAAAGTGGTTTGGGAAATGTAGTCCCCTGTGACAGAGAGCAGAGCAAGGGAAGGGTGGGGATACAGCCCTCACTGGGTCTCTGACTCCCCCGCACATGGTATTTGGGCTCTAAATATTTGTTGAATCAAGAAATGGTACCTATTGCCCTGCCTTGGGCTGGTACTTTCTTTTTCCTGAAGGGCCCCTGGGGGCTTTTGAAATATAAATGACCAGATGATTCATGACCCTGTGACAAGCCAGTGGGCCGGCACTCTGTCATGCTTCCCACCTCTGGGTGCCCAGATGTGCCTGTGAGGCTGGACTGGAGGGAGGGGCGGTGTGGGAGGGGCAGGGGAGGGGATGGCTCTTCTACAACTTAAAAGGGGCTCATACCACTTCCTCCCCAGACAGGGGAGCACAAGCCCGCGCCCAGCCTTCCTGCGTGGTTTCAGCTGCCCTGAGAGTGTCATGGACTTGGGTGAGTGAGCCTCCCCGTGCGAGGGAGCAGCACCAGGCGCGCTGACACCCAGACTGACTCTGTGGAATGGGGGTGGAGGCTGGGGGCGGAATGCGTGACAAAGCCTCCCGAGGAGGCCCGTCTGCTTGATGGAAGTCAGAACTCCAGGCACAAAGGTGCACCTTTCAGACCTAGGGGAGGGCTAACCACTGGTCCAGGACAGACAGAGGGGTCGAGGCTGTGCCTTTCCAGATCAGTGGGACTGAAGGGGGTGGCAGGGCTGGGGTTGGTGGTGATCTGGACAGCACCTGTTCTCACCTCAGCTTGGGATGATGGGTGAGGCTCTTCAGACCCGTTTCATCAGGGGAAAACTCTCAGGGGACTCTGGGCCCTTCACTCCCCCCCAGTTCCCACCTTCCCCCCACTGCTGATAGACTCTCCGTTCTCTGGGGCTTAGGGAGGGGAGCAAGTTCAAGGTGACTGCACTGCGCAAGCGGTGCTCTGCATGCACACGCGGGCTGGGTTATTGTCTCTCTGCTGCACATCCCACCAGCCTCGCTCCTGCCTCTTGCAGGTCAAAGGCTGGGTGAGAATATAAAATGGCACAGCAAGGGGCATTCAGCTTAGAGAAGTCACAGGCCGGGCCTCCAGCACAGACCCTGCCTCAATTCTTCACTTTTTCTACCCAGGCAGATGACTCTTCTCTTTAAAAAACCCATCCTCCCATCTAACCTTGCTCCTAACTAGAGAGAGTACAAGGGAAGCCCTGAGAGGTTTGGGGGGGCAGGGTGTGTCCAACTCCAGAGACCCCATTTATAAATCTCAGCTGAGGAGTCAGACCCTGCCGAGGTTACGAAGGCCATGTTCCTGGATGGCTCGTTCTCACCAGCAAGCAAGCACCACGGTGGCCTCAAAGCCACAAGGGGTTGGCCTTAAAAAGTGAAGGTTCCTCAGTGCACCCTCTGCTGTCCTCACAACCCTCCCCACCATACCACAGCCTTTTGCCTTCATCTCTGCCTTTCTCATCCGCCCAGAGACCTGGGTGGACCCAGCAAACCACTGTGACAGGGTTAAAGTGGCCAGTCAGTGCACCAGCTGAACTCCTGGAAGGCAGGGTCTGATCCTTGCATCTCTGCAAGGTACTTTCGGGGTGTGATCAGAACACGTTTACAGAATTAATGAATGGTGTCAAGAACTCTGGGTTTTAGTGTTCTAAAATCTCTTCCAACTTTCTCTCCTCCCAGCAGCCTTCCTTCTAATCCCACTCCCCAGCCATCTGCCCCCACTGACCACAGTCCCCGGATGCAGTCATCCACTGCACACCTTGCTCCTGACTCTCTGTTTGATCTCTGTCAAGGGAACCAAGCAGTGTCACAGTGGTGGGCTGGTAAATGCTTGAAAACCAGCTCCCCAGGGTGGATGATGGCCCTGATTTGTAGTGCTTGCCAATTTCCATAGTGTAAATTCTCCCACCATAGCTGATTTCAAGCTTCCAGCCAATATCAAGCCACGAGGTGACTGAACACAGACTTGGAGCGAGATTACAACCCTGTCTAACAAGCCTATGAAAGCCAGCTCCAGCACACCACCGAGGGTTCTCCTCCAGACCTAGGTTTGGGGGTGCTAGACCCACAGGCTTTGATGCAGGGAGGGAGGGCAACCTCTGGCCCAGGAGAAAGGGATGTTCTGGTTGCTTTGCTTAATTGGAGAGAGCCCCAGTGGCGAAACCCGAAATACCGGTGGGGTGGGGGCAGCTTTCGCTCAGAACAGACTGTGGACCTTTGGTAAGGCAGGTCTGTTTTTCGTTCTTCATCGGCCCAGAAGGGAGCAAGGGGTAGGTGAGGGGGCTGAGTTTCTGTTACACAAAATGAAAATGCCAAACCCGGCTGAGCTGGTCTTTTTCACAATTTGAATGAGCAGTCCGGAGGTGCTCTCCCCACCTTCAAGAAATGTGGCCTGAGATCTCAGTTAGAATTTTCCAAAGCAGAGAAAAAAATAATTAAACCTGCCAGAGACTCCTCTCTCACAGCTTGGCCAGATATGGCAGCAGAGGGGATTGCTGAAGGAATTCAGGGCCAATCCCTCCTGGCCTTCTGGGAGCTTGGCTGGGGAAGAGGGGTCTGCTGTAGCTTGGGGGAGCTGTTGGAAAATCTCTCCTCTTTGTTTGGTACTTTCTTTCAGTCAGCTATCATTGATTCAGGCATGACCAGTCTGGTAAGGAGGAGAATACAGATGTCACTAGCCAAGGCAACAGAGCGAGACATGGTGCTGATGGGGTACCGGGCAAGATGCTTATAAAGCTCAAAGAAAGGAATAGCGAACATGAGCCAGGAGAACATTTAAATTGGGTTTTAAAGGGTGTGTAGGAGCAAACCAGGGAAGGAACAAGAGGCCCAGTATGGGACAGTGATAGCAGACTCAGTTACCCAGCAGGGTAAATGTGGAAATGGGCATAAGATGGACTAAGGGGAGGGAGCAGAGTGAACCAGAGGGTGCAAGCCCCACTTAAAGCAGCCAAACCTAATTTTTTGTAAATTCCATGCATCCAATCAGAATATCCTGGGGGCTCAGTTTTCAGGCTCCTGGATGGCCAGCCAGCTCTGGCCATGCCAAGAAGGAAGGTAGGAAGGAAGGCAGGAGGGACAGGCAGGGCTGATCCTTAAGATTTTGTGTGGCGTTGCTAAGGAGTTTGGGCTTTATCCTGAAAGTGATGGGAAGCCAGTGAAGATTTTTCTTTTTCAATTAGCTGAGTTAAAGGATGAGATTTGTATTTCAGAAGGAGTTCTCTGACAGCCAGGGGGCAGCAAAGCCTTATGTCAGGGCAGAGGTGGGGGGCTAGCTCTGAGATGTTGGGGGGAGAGAAGCAACAGAACTGGGTGACCAGTGGGATGTGGGGGAGTGAGGATTCCCTTCAGGCTCCATGGAGGTCCCCACACACCGCAGGCTCATCGGAAATGTAGACTTGCTCAGTAGTGAGAATTCCATTCAAATCTCTTAGCAGCTGTGTGACCCTAGGCAAGTGGCTTAACCACTCTGGGCCTCTATTTTCTGAAATATAGAATGAGAATAACAAGGGATAACTCACAGGATGTTATGAGAGAGAGAGATGCATAAAGACAAAGAAGAGGCACAGAAGAGTGGTTAGGGGTGCCATTTCTGGAGTCAGACAGGTTCAAAGCCCATCTCCACTGCTAGCCAGTTGACTCTGGGAAAGTTACTAATCTCGCTGTGCTTGTTTCCCAGTACCTATCTCATAGGGCTTTTGTGAGGATGAAATGATAGTACATGGAAACAGTTTGGTGCATAGTGAGAGCTCAGTAAATACGAATTATATCACTAGATAAAGCAGTGGATATCATAGCAACTGCAAGATTCAACCAGCTGTCATCCATCCCTGCCTATTGTCTGGAAGAGAGTCCCCAGGCCTCTCACCTTCTCTCCAGATTCCTACCACTTCCCTGCCTCTTCCACTCCCCTCCCTTGCCCCCAAAAGAGAAAAGTTGTGTTGGCAGGTGAGGAATTACAAAGAAGAAAAGGTTTGGGGTGACTTTGGGGACCAGTTGCTGGGCAGCCATGATTCCCTGAGTCTCCTGAGAGTCCTGGAAAATGTGGGGATGAAAGTTCAGGGCTTGGGGGAGCAGCCAGCCAACAATCCCCTCCTCCCAGGCAAGAAGGGAGTTTCTCTTGCTGGGGCTCAGGTTGGAGTCCCAGGGAATTTTCTGTTCATTGTGATCATTACTAGAAACTCAAAAACTCAGAAAATACCCAGCACATAAGTAAACCACTCCTCAACCCCTCAGATTTTCGGCTTCACTGGTCTCACCCAAGTTGCTGCCCAAAGCCAGTTGCTTTATGACTTTGTAACAGACAGAAACGATCTGACTCATGGCGGCCAACCAGGCCCCCTCTGCCACACACCAGAGTTCCCCTAAGTTCCCATTTGGTCACCATTCTTGAAAATGGCCTATTCTGATCTTATAGGATACCTGCTCATTTGTCATCTCCAACATAGCTGGAATGAGAAATCACCTACACACATACACACACTCATACACACACACACACCCCAGCTCCTTACCCTACCCCCTACTCTAGATAGTGGCAAAAAAGAATGGGACAGGGCCCAGGAGAAGGAGCTAACGGAGTAAAACAGAAACAGTTCTCGCTCCTTGTGTTTCACCCGTTGTGACTTATCAAAACTTTGAGGTTTCTCAGTTCTCACTGACAGTCAGAGTGGGCATTCTCTAGAGTAACCGAAAGACTCGTGTTTAGAGAAACCTCGAGCGCTTCACATCAAGATGAGTCAGTGGTGGATGGGTGGTTTGTTCGTTGGACCCTGAAGAGAGTGTGGTTAGGGGAGAGATCTGGACAGGAGCTCAGAGGCTCTGGGGTAATTCAGCAAGAAAGGGGAATGAGAGAGAGGAGCTATGATGTCGCATGAGGATCCATTTCCTCCGAGGGCTACAAATACTCAAACGCAAGCTAGGGACAATGGGGCAGTGGGTGCCTGTCCCAAGGGATGGAAGACACAGCTAGGAAGGCAGGCCCAAGGAGACAGCAGAGGGCTTGACTGCCGTGCTAACTAAGCATCTGGACCCTCTTCCCTAGGGTTGGGTAGAGAGGTCCTAAGGATTTAGGAGGGCACAGTGTGGAGGGGGTGGCATCCAAGTTTTGCTTTAGGAAGACGTGTCTAGCAGTAACATGCAGTACAACTTGCTTGAGGTGAGAGAGGTGCCTATCTATTTATGTGACTTGATGCCTGGGCCTCCCTCCCCCGGGGACCCCCAAGCCCAGAATCTCTGCCTTAGGCAGTCCCTCTGAAAACATTCACTGCCACTTGGGTCATGAAGCCGACTTCCAGCAGGTGGTGCTGTGGCCAAGTACACAGGCTCGCTGGGAATGTGCTGCCTCCTCGGGAAGCAGGGGCCTCTGCTTGCTGGAGGGGGCCCCAGCCTCCAGAAGGTGTTTAAAGCAGGGTCCCAGCCACTTCCCTGTTGGTACTGAGACTAGAGGTGCGGGGGGAGGGGAGCCTGCAAGTCCTGTCTTGGCATTCGTTGATGGCATCACAGACTGTTTCCTGTGGGCCAGATTTGAGAGTCAAGTAATGGAGAAGGGGCTATGAAGGTGAAGGAGACACAGCTCCTTTCCTTGGGGTGCTCCAAGGCTGTCAGGTGAGATAAGACTTCTACATAAGTTACCCTGTGAGCTGTCCTCCCTGCTCGGCCCTCGGAGGAAATGAGCTCCAGGTCCAGCCCTCAGCTCAGCCACAGACCAAAAGTAAGAGGCCAGGTGCCTGCCCTCCATCTGCAACACATCAGGCCTTCTGCTAACCTGGGGCTCAACCAGCTGTTCAGACCCAAGGAGAGCCTCCTGATTTCCAGAATATACCCAGGCTCTGAAGCCTGCTCTGGGCAGGGCCTCTTCCCATAGCTGACCTCATGTTCCCCTTCCACTCGCAGCCCACAGGTCTGAATTAGAAAAAAACTTAAAGAAGAGAAAGCAAATGCGCACACTTTAGTCAAGCAAAAAAACACAACAACGTAGTTACCACAAGAAATAGTCTCCATCCTGCCACACTCTCACAAGACAGTGCCCTCTCAGGCTACCTTGGTGCCTCCTTCCTTGAAGGGCAAGCAAGGAATTCATTCTTGTATTTATTTGTCAGCACACAATCCCTGGGCACCTCCTCTGGCCTGGGCCTGCCTGGGTAAGAGGGAAGAGGTCCCTGCCCCAAAGGCAGGCTGAGGGGTGGGCCAGGTGAACCAAGAGTAAGCGCTGGATGAATGTCAGCTGAATGAAGGGGTGTTGGGGGCACCACAGAACACTCTCTCATCCATTCCTGAGAGGCCAGTGGGTAACACTCCTCTACCCAGCCCTGTGAAATCAGCCGGCCTCCCTCAGAAGATAGCTAGGCACAGGAGAAATGCTCCCCAGTGGCTGCTGGCACCGGAGCAGTGTAGGGGACACACACACACACACACACCCCTCTACCAGGGAATTGCTTCCTAGAGTGGGAGGAGGCCATTCAGACCCAGGAGTCAAGGTCAGTTGAAGCCCAACTTTGAGGGCTGGTCTGGGCCAGGGTAGACCCTCCAACTCTAAAAGAGACCCTGAAGAGCAGAAGGGGGAGACTGCCCTGCATTCTGATCTGCTCCTTTCGGGGACCTCGCAGCGCAGGAGGGGGAGGAGGAGAGGGCAGCGAGGCCAGGCAGCTGGCCAGGTGCTCCGAAGCACAATCTAGTTCTGATGTTCTCTTTGGGCAAATGCAGCGCCTGTAGCATGTGATGAAAGCTCCATCAGCATCTCTATCTCAGTGGCTTTCTTTAGTAACAAAGAACTGCCCCTGCCAAGCAATAACTTTCTCACTTTGTCTCTCACAGGGAAGCCAATGAAAAGTGTGCTGGTGGTGGCTCTCCTCGTTGTTTTCCAGGTGAGGTTCCCTCCTCCACACTCCTGTCCCCAAGCCCACCCCTTCCAAGTCCGAGGCTCTGGTGGAGCAACTGGGCATTTGCTGGAAGGAAACAGACCCAGACACTAACCCACTCACCATTCGTTAAGCTGATGTTCGCCCCTCTCCATCTGCTGAGTGACCCTAGAGAGCCTTTACTCCACTTAAAACATGAGGGAAATAAGTTACCACCACCTTCCCCACCCACTCCCAATATCCCCATCCAAAAGACAGAAATGTGGACCCTGGCTGAGCTCTCAGAGAGAGGAGCTGCAAGAACCAAAAGCTGTCTGGTTGCTGAGTTTTGCACATATGTGTGCACACCCATGCATGTAAAAGTTCACGTTTTAGTGAGCTGAGAAAAGAACCTTTGGTATGGTGGCCTGGTTACTGTCCTATCATCCCAAGGCTGCCTCCCTCTCCAACCTCCATCCAAAGGCTCCCCTAGAAGCCCAGTTTCCTTCTGTAAAATAGAAACTCATCTGCACCCCACTGGAGGGGGGAAGATGGAGCCCAGGACCCTGGGGGTGGGAGGGGGTGGAGGGGTGCACATACTTTACAGGGGCCTGAACTCGGCAGGAAGAAAGGCCTCCAGTTCATAAGGCTTTGTTTCTCAATCCCAGAAGTGGAGACAGAAAATCTGCCCCCATCAAGTGCCAGAGTTAGAAGAAACTATAACTCATGGAGTGGACTCTCCCCCATTTGTTGGGGATGAGAGCTGTCTTGGAGGAGGAGAGGCAGCTGAGACCAGAGCTGGAGAAGCAATAATTCAGATTTGGCAATCCCCCAGGTCTGGAGGCCAGAGGGGCAGCTTTCCAGGAGCTCGGGCCAGAGGCAGGCCCCAAGCTGGGCATGGTTCCCAGAACCCCATCCCAGAGGCCCCCTAAAGCTTGGGCTGCAGCCCGCAGCCCGGCCCCTTCCCCATCACCACTCCCTCCCCTCTCTCTCCCCTGTTCCCAGGACTCTGGAGGGGCTGTATTACTACCAGCAGAGGCTGGAAGGTGGGGGAGGGGACAAGGGACAGCTGGGACTCATTCTCTTTACTGGGGTGGATGGAGGTGGTTCAGATGGGGCAGGATGTGGTGGGGCTGTGGGCTGCACAGGCGTCAAGTCTGGTGGCTCTTTGGTGGGGGGAAGTAAAGGGGGAAAGAGAAGGCAGGAATGGTGGGGAGCACACATCATAGAGAACGAGTGGAAGGTCCAGAGCCCCCTATGTCCAGGGGCCCAGACCTAAGGCCTGACCCTTCCTGTGACTGGGCTGCAGTCATGCCCAGGTGAGGGGAAAGAAGTTACCACTGACTTTTCTTTTCGAGACAACAATACCCAAAGGGAAGGCTCCTGGGTGTTATTTTTTTCCTCAACCTGTCCCCAAGCAGGACAGTGATGAATCCAGAACTGAAAGTCAGAGGACGGAGACAGGATACAGGGAAGTCGGGAGACTGGGCTCCGCTTCTGGCCACATAACCCTGAGCGAGCCACATGGCTTCTCCCAGTGCCTGCCTCCCTTGCCCCATCTTTAAAGTCCCTCCAGCTTCCCAACTGTATGAGAACCCATCATGTTGAGCTGCCCAGAGCCCAGTTCCCAGAGAAGGGACCACCAGCTTCCAGCCCAGCTGCCAGCCCTGCAGGCTCAGCCGTCACTGTGCCGCTGTGCAGAGGCCTGAGCCGACGCATCAACCCTCCTTCATTGATAAAATCTCAGCAGGCCACTTAAACCTTCACCCTACTCTGCAGACTGGCTTAAAAAAAGTCCTGAGCAGCTGAGCCCAGCTGTTTGGGATCTGCCTGAAGAGACTGCAAGGAAGACAGAGGCAGAGGTGGGAGGAGATGGTGGGAGACAGAGCCGTGCTTCCTTCCAGGGACTCCAAGAGGACCGGGTCACAGCTGAGGAGGCGGTGGCCCTGCTGTGGAGTTCAGTGCACTGGACACCAGTTGCCTGAGTCCCACTGTGTCCAGGGCACTGTGCCCCGGGCTCCAGGGGTCCATAAAAGTCTTCAAGTTGCCCGCCACCCATGATCACTGCAGCTTGTCCCAAACCAGGTCAATACAATCTCTCTCTCTTTTTTTTTTTTTAATATATCTTTATTGATTTCAGAGAGAAGAAAGGAGAGAGGGAGAGAGAGAGAGAAACATCAATGATGAGAAAGTCATTGATCGGCTGCCTCCTGCACGCCCCCGACTGGGGATCGAGCCCGCAACCGGGGCATGTGCCCTGACCAGGAATTGAACCAAGATCTCCTGGATCCTAGGTCAATGCTCAACCGCTGAGCCATGCTGGCCGGGCCCAATGCAGTCTCTTAACAGAGCTTTTGCCTTCCTCTCTTCTCACTCCAGGACCTCCTCAACCTTAACTCCAAGGTGGATTTTCCCTCAAAAGCTGAGGTATTTTGTAGGCTCCCTTCTGGAAAGCTCTTTCTACCAGGTTCTGAAGGAGGCTCAGGAAGAAAAACATGGGCCCCCACAAAATAAAACCTCCGTAGGGACAAATTTGGTGCCTGAACCTGGGTTAGGAACCTCACAACAACCATGTGAAGGTGATGGCATTCATGTCCATTTCACAGAGGAGAAAACAGAGGCTCAGAGACATGTGTGTTTAACCATCTCAAGGTTCATTTGACCCCAAAGCCCAGACTATTTCCAGTCCTCTATCAGCACATATACATGTTAAAACTTCAGAAGAACTGATTTCAAACCAAAGAATCACCTGGAAGGTTTAGAAAAAAACAGATTCCTGGGCCCCACTCCCTGAGATTCTGGTGCAGTAGGTTATCAGATGGGGTCCAAGAACGTGCAGGTGATGCTGATGCTGATGCTGACGATGGGAACCACACTTGGAAACCACTGCTCTGGGCAATCCCAGGGCAGGGAGATTTTGACCCACTTAGCTAAGCTGGACCGTGTTTCCCTGTTTCCTTCCCCGCAGGTGTGCCTGTGCCAAGATGAGGTCACAGATGATTACATCGGAGAAAACACCACGGTGGACTACACGCTGTTCGAGTCTGTGTGCGTCATGAAGGAAGTGCGGGACTTCAAGGCGTGGTTCCTCCCCACCATGTACTCCATCATCTGCTTCCTGGGCCTGGTGGGCAACGCGCTGGTCATCCTGACCTACATCTACTTCAAAAGGCTCAAGACCATGACCGACACCTACCTGCTCAACCTGGCACTGGCCGACATTCTCTTCCTGCTGACCCTGCCCTTCTGGGCCTACAGCGCAGCCAAGTCCTGGATCTTTGGCGTCCACGTTTGCAAGCTCATCTTTGCGGTCTACAAGATAAGCTTCTTCAGCGGCATGCTCCTGCTTCTTTGCATCAGCATCGACCGCTATGTGGCCATTGTCCAGGCCGTCTCGGCCCACCGCCACCGGGCCCGAGTCCTTTTCATCAGCAAGCTCTCCTGTGTGTGCATCTGGCTGCTGGCCACGGTGCTCTCCATCCCGGAGATGCTGTACAGCAACATCCTGAGGAGCAACAGTGAGCAGGCCTTGCGGTGCTCGCTCATCACCGAACAAGTGGAGGCCTTGGTCAGCATCCAGGTGGCCCAGATTGTGGTGGGCTTTCTGATCCCTCTCGTGGCCATGAGCTTCTGCTACCTTGTCATCATCCGCACCCTGCTGCAGGCGCGCAACTTCGAACGCAACAAGGCCATCAAGGTGATCATCGCCGTGGTGGTGGTCTTCATAGCCTTCCAGCTGCCCTACAATGGGGTGGTCCTGGCCAAGACAGTGGTAAACGCCAATGCCACCACCAGCTGTGAGCTCAGCAAGCAACTCAACATTGCCTACGATATCACCTACAGCCTGGCCAGTGTCCGCTGCTGCATCAACCCTTTCCTGTACGCCTTCATCGGCGTCAAGTTTCGCAATGACCTCTTCAAGCTCTTCAAGGATTTGGGCTGCCTCAGCCAGGAGCGGCTCCGGCAGTGGTCTTCCTGCCGGCACACCCGACGTTCCTCGATGAGTATGGAGGCCGAGACCACCACCACCTTCTCTCCATAGAGGCTTCTCTGCCTGGACTCGAGGGACCTCTCCCAGGGCCCCCAGGTCGGGGACAGCGAGCCGATGACATGACTTAGGACCCAAAAGCTGCTGAAGGAAAGGCAGTTCTGACCCTTAAGGTTTATCTCATGGTGAATACCCATGCCATGGAAGAGAGATGAGGCCCAACCCTAGCTACCTCAACCAAGTTGGCGGAGACGTGGCTAGTAAGCTGCCAGATCCGGCAACACTCTAACACCAAAGCTGTTCTCCCCCAAACCAAAAGTGAAAGCTGAGAAAGTTCACGCTTCCTGGAGGGCAGGGATAGTAGTTGGTGAGAGCTAGAGTGGTACCAGGGCCTGGGGAGCCCTCAGAATGAACCTTCAAGGACTGAGGCAAGGTCTTCCAGAAAACAAGGCTGTGTCTCCAAGACCAGAGGTGGTGGGGAGACTTCGTGGCTTGGCAAGGAAAGGGAGATGCCAATGGGTCAACTAACTCTCTATATCTCTCCCTCCAACTTTTTTTCCACTGTCATCGTCGCCAGCAAGAAATGGCAGCCTCCAAGCCTCCCTAAAAGCACACTTGCCTCTCTCCTGCTGTTTCTCCCAGGGCTGCTGCCCCCCCAAGCTCTCCATGGGAGAGGTGTGGTGTATCCTGCAGGCCAGGCCAGCTGCCTCCAGCCAGCCAAAACCATGTTCCCAGCCAAGGCTCTGGGGCGGGGATGACGTGTGGCCAGACCTTCTCTTGTCTCAATTTTGCTAGGATGGAAGAGAGGGCCAAGAGCGAGGTTAGGGGCCAGGGCATGGGTGACAATGCTGGCTGCCCAAGGCCAATGTGCTGCTTCTTTGTTCTTTGTCACAGAGACAAAGTACTGTCATCCTGTTCTGCTTTCAATTCATTAAGAGAGCGCATTTTACTCATACACGAATAAAACTTTTCCCTTGAGGAAACGACAGTTTTAAAAGAAGGGGAAAAATTTTTTGGTAAATGGCAAATGAGTGTGTTCTTGTCTTCAAAACCCCACCTGACCACCCCCACTTCCCCTTTCCCCTCCCAGCCTTCATTTCTCAGAGATGCTCAGAGCCAGGAGGTCTGAGCTGTGTAATCTCTAAGCCCATGCAATGACACAGGCCCAGGAGGCTGAAAGGTAGGAGGATGGGGAGTCCATGCAGTGTGTTCACCTTGCAAAGAGTCTTCCAGAGCTCCTGGAACAAGAATGAAGTCTCTTGTGGTCAGCAGTGACCCAGGGACACTGGTCTGAACAGAGCTTTGGAAAGAACAAAGTTGTCCTTATAACCTCTATGGCTGGGAACTCTCACTGGCCCTTAGCAGCATATGTAAACTGGTCTGCTCATCTGTCCCAGATCAGTCTGGAACTATAGCCCCTGACCCTTTGTCAGTCTCCTCAGACCCCCAAAACTGGTGTTTAGAAGGAGGGCCTCTCCATGGGCTCAGAGCCCACTGCATGCTGGATTAAGGGAGCTTGGGATGGGACCCATAGGAGAGGCTGCACCCTTTACTGGATGCCTGAGAGCCAGGTCTGCCCATAACCATCCCTCCTGGCTACTGTTGTAGCAATGGCCTTCATGGTGTGGACACTCATCATGGAGGGGCAGGGATCAGGAGCAGCCACTGCCCCACACAGGCCCAGGACCCATGGCACTGAATGCCCTGATGTCTACCCCAAACTCTGACTTCTTCAAGCCAGAGAAGTTAGTCCAACTGTGATATATGAGGAGGTATCGGAAGGGCCCAGCACTGTAATAGCTGGGAGGGGTTGGCAGGGGTTCTGAGACACTCATACAAAAGGTGATTCCATCAATTTTCCGGAGTGAAAAGAGCCTTATGGAAAATGGAGCCTGCCTGGTAATGAAGCCCATTGGCTAATCTCCTAAACACATTACATTACCCTCCTCCGAGGGATGCACTGGGCACGCTTTGTCAGCCAGCCTCCAGGCCGGGAACCGGCGCCCTGGAAGAATGAGCCTGGCTCAGACGCAGGCGCGGAGCGGCGGTCCGGGGCAGCAGCTGCATTAGGCATTAAAGATGCAGCTGCAACTGTGTGCCTGCGAGCGAGCGAGCACGGGGCGAGGGGTGACCCCAGGGTGCCTTCAGGGCCCAAGGGGCCGGCCGGTGCCCACTGGTGTGCGCGTCCTAGTGAGGTTACGGGTGGGAGAAAGACCCGGGTTCCTGAAGGGGAGGAATGCTACAGAGCGGTCATGAACAGGAAGCCAGGCCAGCCGCACGAACACGCCGCCTCAGCTCCAAATACTTTTTGCTAAAATAACTGGACGTCTCCAAGTATTTACAAAGATAGCAAACCCCCAGCAATGTTAACTCCCCGAACTGCTGAATCTCAGGAGCTCTCACCTTGGCTCGTTGCTGGCCTGGCCCTGCTCCCTTGCCCAGGGCTCTCATATGCCTACCCTGAGCTTTGGGGGACACCTGGGAAGAAGGAACAGATTCACTGGGGAGGCCCCTCCGCCAGGGGGGTGTGTGTGTGTGTGTGTGTGTGTGTGTGTGTGTGTGTGTGTCTTTCTCTCTCTGCTTCATATACTGCCCCATCACCCCAGGTTCACCCCCCACACAGCTCCTCCGTGTCTTCTTTCCATCGCCAGAACCCCTTTCCACTCACCCTCCCTGGCCACAACCCCAGGCCATAAATCAGTCATTTCAGCCAGAAGCACCACATTTCACGAAGCATGGACTCTAAGAGCTGCAAGAGATCTCACGAATCTATTGATCCAAAACCCAATCATTCTCTAGATTGGGAAACTGAGGGCCAGAGGGAGGAACTGACTTGCTTAAAGAGACATTGCCATGTAGGGATATTGGATAAACTTGCTTTGTCGACCTGAGGACCTGGCAGGACTGCAGGAGGTGGATAGGGGAGAACAGAGGCTCTGGAGCCTGGCCAGGTTTCTATCTCATCTCTTCTGCTTCCCAGCTGTGTGGACTTCAGCTGTTGCTCAACTGCTCTGAGTCTCAGATTTCTCAACTGCAAAATGGAAAGGATTTGGCAAACATTTGGCACAGTGTCTGAAATGTTGAGTGTGGTGATGAGGAGCACCGACTCTGCCTGGTTTGAATCACAGCTACACTTCTTAGGCTGGTTACTTAGTCTCTCTGTGCCTCAGTTTCCTTGTCTGTGTGATGGGGATAACCACAGTACCTACCTCCTAGGGTTGTGGTGAGAAGTAAAAGAAATCACATATGTAAAATGCTTAAGAATTCTTATGAAAGGGTTGTTGATAATCATTGAGGTGTATAGTAACATCTCAAACAAACGCTTAAAACAAAAAAGTTGCTAACCACAGGAAACCAAACTCAACTCCTTAGCCCCATTTCCATCCCTATACACTTTATAAGTCAAACTGGAGAGCAACTTTGAGATTAGTCTGTCCTTCCTACCAACTGTACAGGTGAGTCAATGAGACTCAGGGAGGGAAATTACTCACCTGAGGTCTCTCTCGAGCTCTTGGCAGCGCTGGAACTTGAACCCAGGCTCCAAGCGCCCATATTCAGAGCCCTTCCCCCAGATCTCCTACATTCATTTGCACACCCCTACACAGCCACCCTGGCACACATCACCCTCATCCCAGACCTTTCACCTCTCCTCCGACAGGCACCGGCCCTCCTGTCCCACGGCCAGGTCCCTAAGGAGAATGTCCCCTCTCCCTCTTACATAGTCCCATCCTTGCCATTGGGTGTGGGAGGGTGAGGTACAATAGAGACACGGCAGCAGTCCCAAAGGAAATCAGACAACTGATATTTTAAAGAAAGGGTCCTCTCCGGGAGCTAGGTTCTCAGTTGCATTTCTGCGTTGAGGGTGAAGAGCTGAAGGGAGAACAAACAGAACTATAGGGGTGATGGGGTGGGGGTTAAGGCAAAGAGATGCAGAGGGGAGGGGAGAATTCTGAATGGGGAGCAGAAGTCAGGGGAAGGTGAGGCAGGGCTGGTTTCTGGGGACTATAAGGCTGGGGCTGGACTCAGAGAGTATTCTCAGTGGGTAGAAAGATGCCCCCACCTACACCCATGCATAAACACACACACACACACACTCACACACACACACACACACACACAACTTCCAGGGCCTCCCAGTCCCAGGTGGGGAGAAGGAGCTATATTAGTCTCAGAGACAAGGGGGCCCATGGCCTTCTTTGCTGAGAAGGGGCTAAAAATGGCCCAGTTTCCGTGGTCTGAGCTCCAAGAAAAAACCCAGGGGGAAAAACTGGGTGAGACCTCTCCGTCAACTCAAAAGATCGACCCTGTCAGCCCTCCCAGTCCCCGCCTCATGGGAATAGGTGTCCCAGAGGTGCAGCAGGGAGCAGCAGCCTCATTACCCTTAACCCCCACCCCCTCCCCCTGCATTGTCTGTCTTGGGCCCTGAAAGAGACACAGCCCAGGGATCCGCTGCAGAAAGGCTCCACAGCCCGGTGCTCACCAGCCAGAGCAGCCCTAGACTAACCCAAAGCAACTGATCCCATCGGAAATCAGAAAGGAAGGGACATGAATTTTCCCACAGGCTCCTCTGTGTGTGAACACGCAGCCCGATTCAGCTGCTGTCAGTTCCTTCCCCCCTCACATTTATTCTGAAGACAAATATAACTTTATTTTTGTCTATTGTTCATTAACCCCAGGGAATTCATTTGCTGGGTTGTTCTACGTGTCACAGTGACCGCTATGAAGTTTGGCCTCCATGTTCCCATCTCTATGTAAATAAACATCTCCCGCAAGAGCAGGGGTGGGCCAGGCTTTGCCGGGCTCTGACCAGCTCCATTCCCTGATGGTGCAATAGGTCCCGAGGTCAGACCTCCACGCCCCAGTACTGGCAGGAGGGCAGGTGAGGAAACATGACTTGCGTCTTCTCTTGCCTGTGTCGGAGCACGCTTAGGCCAGGACAGTTTCTGTTTGTTCTAAGTAAATAGCTGACATGAAGTTTAACAGATGCTGCAGATGAAATGCCCCCAAACCTTTTTCCAATGTTTAAAAAGAGGCCTGGAAGTGCAGGCACATTTATCTTGTATGGTTTATACAAACTGTACTCGCGTGACTAAAGCAAGAACGTGATCACGTGCAAAGACCCAGTGGTGCA